ATTATTTATTTTCATACTGCGTTGTTCGTCTTTTTTCTCTTATCGAACCTACTTAACATATTTTAACGCAGCATTTCTCGATTTTTCTCTTATGAATAAAAACACTGAAACATTTCCTATGATCGACAAAAGAAACTATTCCATATGAATAGATTAAAGTCAACATATCCAACTTTTTTAAAGTGGGACCCACCGGTGGATCCCATCGTGCCCAATGTGTTAATGAAGGAAAATTAGATTAATCATTCTGTATTAACAGATAAATTCACCCGTTTTCTTTTTACAATATTTAAGAAATGTATTCTTCGATTCCATATACTGAATGGTCCAAAAATTACCAGGCAGTCATCCAACGGACGGTGTCCAAGGACTGAGGAATATGAATTCTTCTTGGATTTCTCCACAGTTTCATGAATCATAAAATTGAAAAAATACGGTATTCACGATATTTTGTCTTCAGACAATCATTTTTTCAAGAAATATTTGAAAATGAATTTTTAGGTATGAAATCTGTTACGGATAAATTATTACTTTGATTTTCATTATGGGAGATCTATGAGGGAACTAATGATCAATTCTCTTTTCCCCAGGAATTACCAGAGAGACACTGGTAGTTTCTCTAGAGATTAGGAATTCCCGTCTGTCAGTTCTTGGACATTGCTGAAGTTATAAGGATTTTTGCGAAAGACCTTAGGCTACTTTCAGGAAATTCAGTTTTCGTGCGTCATATATTTTAGTGGAAATTCACGCTGACGATCTCAGGTGGTACGTTAGTTTTCAAAAAGCTCAATGGAAAACTTTCAGAGAACATGTCAGAAAAATCTGTAATTTATGGTTTGATGTACTTTTATCATCTCTTTCCAACGGTGGAAATCGCAGGTGTTTATCATCTTTCCATTGAAAGTTATTCGAAATGAAAGGCTGTCTCGTAACTTTTGTATCATCCTATATTAGAATATTTTTTGGTCAAAAAATCATAAATAAGTATCAATAGAACAAGCAATAGTATAAATGAGCATAAATAAGCAAGGATAATAGATATTAAAAAAACAACAAAAAGATTCATAATCGAAAATCAAATTAGTTAGTTTGTTTTCTTACGTCGGACAATGATAAACATTATTCCACATATATCTCTAACAAATTCTCAATGATAAGTTTTTTTGCATTGTTCTAATGTTCAGTCATATGCATATCCTGTAACCTACATATTATCATCTTATTACTAGTATTTTCAATGCCTGAAATGAGTTTTCAAAACACTGTTTTTTACACACTCAATCGATTTTTATTTAGATTTTCTATGTAATTTATTCACGTTTTCAATTCTAATATTGTAAGAATCATGTTACAACATACGTTGTGAAAACTTTTAATTTATATTGCTCCAGTCGTTTCTGTACAATACGGTTTATGTTCGTAGAAAGATCGTTAGGCATTCATTCACGTTACTGTTTAGCTAATCTAAGTATATTAGAGAATATTTTGACAGAAAATACAGTTCAATAGTTATTAGTGTGATCACTCTTTAAATGGAAAGTATCGTACATTGATTTTTGTAAATCATTTGATTAGATCTCATCAAGAGAAAATGTATTGAGAAAAAAAAAACTCCTTGAATCTTAAAGTATGCACAGGTATTAACATTTTTTTGACCATGGGCAACTGACCACATTTAAAAACAATTAGACGGCAGTAAAATTTGATTTAGGTGGCAATTGCCGAATTGCCATCCTGCTGGCTACGCCACTGGGATGTGGGTATGAATCTTCTCTTCAACATAACCCACACCCGCAATATTGACTAAGAAAAATCCTTCGTGAAACCTTTAAAATTTGTATTAATTTGTGTTTTTTTTCTCTTAGTGTATCTGAATTTTTCTTTTGTAAAACTCGATCTTTTTGAGATATATGCGTATGTATCGCTTATGTCTATTAGCCCCATCTATCAGATAGATAATTTTGAAGGTCGTAACAGAACAATTGAGATTTATCCAAAAGTACTTTTTAGTTTATAAATAAAAAAAAGGCATCAACTTCTGTGAAAATATTCATCAAATGAAAGTACTGCATACATATGTTCTTTTTTTCGATTCTAATTCATTATAATATTATAAAGACCCGACCATTTCTTGTCCTACACCGTGTCCTACCGTACCTTGTTCTGAAACAGGACAGGATGAAAAACAATATTTTTGCTCTGTTCTTCCTCAAGCTTGAACAGAGTAACCCTTCCTTGTGAACACCTCTCTTGCATATCGTGTGATTGTGTATTTTACTTAGTTGATTGTCATACATTTTAGTTCTTTGATCATCATTGATATTGATAAATAATGAATTTGTATACTCGCTTAGCAATACACAAGATAGATTAAACAGCTGTTCTAATCATCACATCAATTTTCAAGAAAAATAAAAATTCTTCCATTATAGATTTTAATAAGCAAATAAGGATAAATATGAATGAGAAAAAATCTGTTTAACTAGTAGAATAGATTTCCCAACAGCACGTAACTCGTGTCAACACTTAAATGTGAACAAACAGTAGGAGAGAGATGATTAATTTCACATATATTCTGTTTCTTCATTATTCGCTTGTTAGAGATAAGAATATATATATCATTCATTGATATGATCAATAACAAAGAGTTTAAAAGAACATTTCGAAAAAGAAAATATATTGCTTTATTTTTTATTAGAATAATTCAAAATTTAAAAAAAAATGTTATTTCAAATAAGCACATCTAAAAGAACAAACCCTTTTATTGTTATCTCGTTCATCAACACTGAATAAATTTTATTTTCTTATAAAAAAGAAATATCGAAGAAAATGATTATCAGTCACGAATTAGAGGTGAAAATCGTTGTCAACATTATCAAGTGTCTCAAATACAACTTGATTTACTTCTTTATCGACCTAAAACAAAATAGTATCACCATGAAAATATCAAATAGATAAAGAACATTTTATTTCTTCTTAATTTTCAGTTTCTTCTGTTAAAATAAATTTTCAACACAAAATTTGATTCATCATACCTTCTTTAGACGAAGTTCATTTATTCTCTTACGAGAGTAGTAACTCGAAAGATACCCACCGTTTCAACGCATATTGGGCGCAAAAGGAGATCTCGGTAAGATTGCCAAAAGCTGAAAAGGATGCGTCTCCATGGTCTTTTGGCATCGAGTTATGATTGGTTTGTTAAATTTTCGACTCATTTGTAGGTAGTTCCCAAAAAATCAAATCACAAAGTTTTGATCTAAAATTTTATTTATAAATAGGCTTAATGACCGTTAGAATATTCTGAAAGTTTAAGCCGAAAAGAATGCTTCTTCGGTCAAATATTGAATTTCTAAAAGTTGTCTTTTGCCATAGACATGTCACAAAAATTGAGTTCAATTGAAAATCCAATAACTCGACGAAGGAAGATTCTTTTTGGCTTAAATTTTTAGGATATTCTAACAATCACTAGGTCTATTTATAGGGGAAACTTTAGATCGAAACTTCATGATTTGATTTTTCTGAAACTACATACAAATGAGTTGAAAATTCAACAAACTGATCACAACTTGGTGCCAAAGTTCCATGGAAACGAATTTTTTTAAGCTTTTAGTAGTCCCACTAAGATCTTCTTCTGCGCCAAATATAAGTTCAAATGGAAAATAATTGCTATCTGAAACCTTCGTTTTTCTACGCTAAAATCTTCTCTCGTCTTTAAGCACATCAATTGTAACTGACGAGGAAATCTCTCCAGACGTTAAATTATTTTTCGACCGAGACGATGTTCATTTAATGAGCACTAGACTGTAATAGAAAAGTCTAGAATGGTTTCGTTTTTTGGACATTCGTTCTTGAGATATCGAAATTCACTAAGTTTTTCAACAAAAAGTTGTGGTCCCCACACGTAGCGTAAAAAATCAATTCTCGAGTTTCAACTGGAAACTTCGTACGAACAAAGTTCTCAATGAGATTAGTTCATTGAGTATGTTGTAACTTTTCTAGTATCTTCTATCCTGAAATGTTCAATATTCGAAATTCTCTAATATACAAAATCAAACTTTGTTCATAGATATGCATCTCCAGAAAATAAATATTAAAAAAGCTAAAACTTGCACAACCAACTAATCTGTAAAGTTTGAAGTCAAAACTCGAAAGTCGATTTTTCGTGTAACCTAAGAGAACCACAGTTTCTTATTGAAAGACTCATTTCAAGAACAAATGCTCAAGAAACCAAACCATTCTAGAGTTTTCTATTACTCTCTAGCACTTATAAAATGAGTATTCTCTCAGTTGAAAAGTGATTTGATGTCTGAAGAGGGTTCCTCGTGCGAGATACAAAATTTGGTTTCGATCTAGGATGACTATGAATTCAAAATTTGTCTTATAAATTAAATGTTTATAATACAACTTGTCCGTAAATTCAATTGAATGAACTCATTTTTCAAGAAAACTATTTATTTAAAAAAGAAGCTTTTATTTAAATGTATGATACATTCAGTATTCTAATTAAACAATAATTTTTTCTCACTTCTATTTTTATAATATGTAATTGTCCTCTGTTCACTGCTTTGATTGTATTCGATAAGGCACGTGTCATTGTTTTGCTTTATAATTCACACCTACATTCAAACATAAAATCAAATAAACAATACACTTTTCTCTCATTGTTTCTAACAAACAAACTGATCAAAGGCTAATATTGAATTTTATTACCAAAAAAAAAAGTCATTGATAATAAATATACATTGAAAATTATGAAAATCTTCTACGATTGAACTTCGTTGCTTAAAATTATTTGGTTTTTTTCTTGAAATTTCAAAATATTGAATATTTTATCTGTCACCATTTAGCAATAAATTGTTAATATTTACTTGATAAAGAGAGTCAACTTTCCCTTGACCAATTAGTGTTTATCTATACAATCCCATCATTGTTTTTCTTTTCCTCTCTTCTTCTCTTATATAAATATCTACTCTATTTGACTTCATAATATTATTAAATAAATGACACGAGATAAAATGAAAGACATCAATAGATCATCATTATTTCCAAGTATTGATTCATTTCAATATTATATTCCATTGACATCAACACCAAAACGTTTAAATAAATCTCATTATTCACAACCATTATCATCAACTTTATCATTATCAAATAATTCTTTAAAAAAATTCGATTTATCAATTTCAGCAATAACTTTAATTAAGAAACCATCTTTACATTATAAAAAACGTCATCGATGTTATCATCGACGAAGAAATCCTATACATTCATCAACAATTATCAAACGTATTGAACTCAAAGATTTATTATATTCAACAAGAGCTATGAAGAAGCAACAAGAAAATCAACAACGTCATTATACAAAAAATGAAATGAAAATTTATCTTGTATAATTAAGACTAAAATTATTGATTTTATTGTTTTTCTTTTTTTTGTATATATTTATCCTGCCGTCTTTTTTTCGAATAAAGAGCTTAAATTTAAATTCTTAATTCACGAGGAAATTTTTTCCAAAAACTAGGAAGCATTTGGTGGCGTTTTCTAGACGAAAGCTGTCATTTTCATTCACAGAAATGCTTGATCCTTTCTTCTAATAAAGCAATGATAGTAAAATTTGCTGACCAGTGATATAAAAGAAAAAGAAAAAGAAAAGAAATATGATCGCACCTATCTTATATAATTAACCTTTTTATATTCGCTCATAAAAATATAAAAACAAAATCACTTCTTTCATCCTTAAGCAGATAAGCTCACAACTGATTCCATCTGATTAATGGATCTATTCTTTGTGGAATCGAGTACTACATTGTGATGTTAGATCGTTTTCCTTGTTGGTTAAACATGTCGCAAAGCAGGAATGAGACCAACGTGAGTGCACCTCTCGTAACTTTTAGAAAATTTTTAGTTTTTTTCAGCCAAAATTGTTTTTTTTATTAAAAGATCGTAAAATGAAAAAAGAAAGTTCAGTACTCCGACTTTAAAAAAAATTGTATATGCATCTTTTCAGCTATCATAAAATTTCTTTGCACTCCGCTTCTGCACTTTTTTCATATAATGCACTTTATGATTTCTTCGGGAAACATTGATAAAAAAAAAACAACAAACCTTTTCCGCGGAAAATCTAAAATATGACTAAATCTCGAATAAAATTATATTTTAGTTATGGCATTTTCTTTCCTATACATCGAAATTTGTACATCCTTTTCATACGTCCACTCAATACACTGAAATCTAACACCTTTGTCAAATTTGAATGTTGAATTCAAGTACTCGAAAATTAAAAAAGATTTGTCTACGTACCTGACCAATTATATCTGTGTCGCGGTATGGAGGCGCATAGCGACTCCCGACGAGCTGTAACCTATACTCGTTTTTGTGAACACAGTAAAGTCTATCTTTATTTTATACTTTGATAGTACTGAAAAGGACGTAAATCTAAACGGATCAGAAGAGTATGGACATTTTTGTTTATCATTGCTGATCATCATACATATCTATCAAGTTCGACTAGGACCCATACTCATTTGCTTAATTTAAACTGTAATCTTCTTTTCATAATTGCAGAGATCATCAGAATCTATTGAACTGTTTCAGAAGAAGTTCACAAACCAGTTTTCAACGATTTATATGATAATATGAATATAATAAAAGATTGCATGAAAATAAAATATCTCATTTTTTCTTACAATAGATTCTATTGTCGGTGAAAGTCTTATTTTCATATTACTTTCATATCACAGTCTCTGAATATTTATCTTTAATAGTTGTGCTTAACCCAAAATAAATTTTTTCTTATATTTTTACCAATTATATATCACACGTAGTATATTATATTTCATCTTTTTTTTTAATTGTATTGTTGTTTTAAAAAATAAAATAAAATCAACTTAAATCATTTTTGTTATCATAAGGTGGATACGATAGCCTCCAAAGTTAATTATACATCTAACAAATACTTTTATTTTTCCTAATATCTCACAAGAGGTTTGAACTAATGAAACAACCAAACAATGATCAGTTCTCAATGACCATTTTTGAAATGATCTTCATAAAAATATTCCCATTACATGTTGACTGTCAAGATAGTCATTTGATAGAGAAAAGACCATTGTGTGGTTGTTTGATTTTTGCATGGTTCGATAAAGTTATCTGTTCTCTTTCAAATACTGAACAATCGGAGAATGCCAATTATTTCTATGCCCGAGTTATTTGCGATAGAATTAAGTCTATTGACTTTTTGAATAGATAATAGTGTATATTTTATCTAGCACAACAAGTTTAGAGTGGAAAGAGATGATACTTGGTCCAGATAGATCATGAAATTTCAGCTATATTATACGAAACATTGCATCTCAATAGTTCAAATCTTTCATGAAATATTAGGAAAATAAGATCATCTAGTACGTATATTAATAATTTTTAGCGCCATTCTGAGGTAATGAGTGGCCAAAACGAAAATTACATTTATATCTTTCAGTTGCAATTTGAGTTCAGTTTAACATATTTTTCTCATCATTTGAATATATCAATACAATGACAACAATTGGTATGTTTCAAATTTCGACTTCTTTACGTTTATTGGTTTTAATCATTCAATTAAATGATGCTAAAACTAGCAGCGAAAAATGTAACTATTTAAAATTCTCTTATAATTTAATGATTTCTATTGAATTTTTGAAAAATAGCTTTTCAATAAAAATCGAAATTAATTTCTTTCTGTTTTTCATTTAGACTATATGGATAAAATGTGTGGAAATAATCATTTTATTTTGGACGGTGATAAGAAACCAGGTATTTCATTACAATAGAAAAAATGAATATTATTGATTGTCCAAGTGATTCATTACGTATCTATGATAGTACAACATTACTTAATAAAGATCCTAAACAACAATGTGGTACACCTGCATCTTTTACTTTTACAGTATGATGTTTATCAAGGTTTAGTTTAAAAAAAAAACTTTCTTATTATTTAGAGTTCAACAACAGAAATATCAATGATATTTATTAGTAATTCAGTTGTTGAATCATCTGGATTTCAAGCTACAATTGCACTTCATTTTCCAAGTATGATTCTATTAGTATAACTGATTATTTTATGATTGTTTTTAAATTTAGTGATTACTTCATGTCCTCAAAATCTTGGCTTTTTTCAATGTAAAAATAAGAATTGTATATCAAAACAACTGCAATGCGATGGACGAAATCATTGTGGTGATGGAACAGATGAAAGCCTATGTGACATCTTTTTTGATTAATGTTTTTTTTTTGTTTTGAATCGATCTCTATAACTACGATAGCAATAAAAAAAAATATTATTATTTTTGAACAGACTTTTTTTTCTGTTTATAATGACAACAAAAAGAAAATATAAATGATCTAATTAATAACTAAATATATAAGTTATTTTGGTTGTTCACCAATCTCAATTGAAAAATGAGTAAAATACAAAAAAAAAGCAAAGTTTTTTTCGTTGTTTGTATACATGGTTCAATTGAGCTCGATGAACTGAGCAAGAATATGTATTTTACTATTTGTTTTCTTTGAAAACTTTTTGATTAAAAAAAATCGAGTTTTTTCGATAGTCCAGCGTAGTCCCTTTTTCCTAAAAGCACGTTTTCCATACTAAAAAACTGATATGTTTAGATTTGCAATGAAAAACTGACTCTGTAGGACTAATTTGTACATTAGTTTCATAGACTTAATTTTTAATGGCAAATCTAAACATAAGTTTTACAATCAGCATGATACGAAAAATGTCTTTTTAAATCGAAGAAATCTATCACTTTTTTAGTATGGAAAACGTAGTTTTCGAAAAGAAAATTATAAAACACATATTCTTACTCAACTCGTCGAGTTCTATCTAACCATGCATAAAAAGATGATAAAAAGTTGTATTGAGGAAATTATACTGAACATTATTAAAATTGTCTGAATCAATATGACTATGTGTTGTATATAACACTTTCATATGACTGGATTTAACTTTTGATGAGTATGTTTTAACATTTTATAACGTGCAATAGATGTTGATGGATGTGTAACTTATAAGTTTTTGCTAACAATATCAGCATGTATATTATCATTTTCATCACACACAATCTCAATACTTTGTTGAATCACTATTGACGAGTAGATAATACTCACGGCATATAGCTACAAGAAATATTTACAATGAAATTGAATTTTATTCCAAATCATAAAGTTAATTTTGGTCAGAAAAAACGTATTGAAATAATATAATTTTCAAAATAAAAATGTATGCGAAATGTTTCAGAAATGAACAACATATACGGTATTAAGTTGTACTGAGTTAATAATAATCTTCATGATCGTCAGTCAACATTTTTTTTGACATATACTTCAGTATAGAATTCTTGTTTGAAAAAACAAGTCTTGACTTTCTGGGAAGAGTCATGTAGGCCAAATCTTGGTTGATGAGAAAAAAATTGTTTTACCAGACAAGATTCTTGTGTTCTTAAATGCTAGTCTGAGTCTTGTGATTTAAGTGTAGCCTTAACTATGCGTTAATAAGGTTAATATCTTGCGTACTGTTCTATCTTATTATTAACTTACAAGAAAATATACGAAAAACAGTAACAATTAACTATAGAGAAAAATAGATCTTTTTACATCGATTTCATATGAAATATGGAAAGACGGAATCGAAAATATTTACAATAGTAACGGAAAAAAATAATTTTATAGCTACGTGATTACAAATAATACATTTACACTAAAAATATGTACCTTTAATTATAGTTCGTCTTTGCTATATCAATCACTTGGAATCGAGATATTGAATGATCTATTGTCCAGTCTTCTATTTTGATAATATTATTTTTGAAAACTCTAAGCTCAATTTCAATTCGACTTATTAATGGATCCAAAAATGTATCTTTCCCAGCTAATGTATTTAATTACATGATACGGACGTTCAACTGATGCGTTACCTGAAAAGAAGATCTTTTGTTTATTTACTTCAAAACAATATGCGACATTTGTCTTGATCGTCATGAAAGAATCTTCTGTTTTTATTCTGTTGAAAGAAGCGGCGCTAAACTACAAGAAAGTTCAAACATGTTATAATTCTTTCCAGATACTTATTTTCTCGATCGATCAGATAAGCTTTCTTCTATCTTGAACTTCAGAATAGAGTCTTACTTGAGCTTCAAGATTAAAAAGAATCCGCATGTCACAAAAACTGGATCACTTTTACCGGTAAACCGCGGCTTACTGGAGAGAACAACCGGTTTTTCACTTTAAAGGAGCCGGCGATTTACCGTAATCTGAAACAGACAGCCGTTAATGGTACGTGACAAATAATCGTTATGAAGAGTAAGGAGTCATTCATAAAGTCAGTTGCATATGAATCTGATGTTGAAATATTTGAAGATTATACTACATAGGTAGTGACAGCAGCACCAGCATTTTTGGCTAGGGAAGGCTCAGCATCCTTCAGACCTCCTATAGGACTACCGCTAGCAACAACTGTAAAAATTTTCCAGAGGAGTTCAGCCCCTTGTGGCGTCGCCACTAGTGTGCAGCTTGTTATTTTATGAAGCAGTAATATGAACGTTATTATATTTTCGAATATCATTGATATTAAACTTTGTTCTTTTTTCTTTTGCTCATTAAAATACAATATATTTAAAATACAACAAGTTTGAAATAGGATATATTTTATGAAATGTTTATTTATTCATCTCTATTTTTGATATGTTTATTTAATAAAAAAGAAGCAGTTACTTTTGAACAGCAGATTCATTCTAGAAACTTTTCCTTTTTATACCGAACGTCAAAGAGATGTTGATGGAACTGAACAGAGAAGAGGATCAAAAAATTCGATTTTTACCTGTACCTTGCCCTAAAGAAACACGAAAAATAAAAACTATTTCTTCAAGTATCGTATGTTTTTTATGTAAACTATATTTGAGAGTAACTATACTGAAGAAAAAAAGGTTTTCAACGATTGAAATGAATTTAGACACTCCCAATTAGACCAACAAGATTTTTTAAGATGAGAAACATTGCATTTATGTAGTTCTTTCCGCGTTGTTTTTCTTTTTTTGTCTTCATCTTCTTTTTTAATTCATTTACTTCTCCATAAATGACAGTATCAGAACGAATAGCAAAGCTCCATTTGAGTCTTGATAATATTCGATTCAATATTCAGTATGCTATGCTATTATGTAACTTTTATTCATCAAAAAAACAAAATTTATCTGTCTCTTCGTTCTTCGAGTCAATCATAATAATGGCTCACGTATGACAAAAAAAAAATTACTCATAAATTAGTTATGCTTTTATGTTTTTTAAAAGTCACTTCCATGGAAACATCATTGTTGAAAAAATAAAAGTAAAGATAAAAAAAAATTCTTTTAATTTTAGCGTATGAGTAGAGTTAGTTCTCTTGAACAACATATCGCTATGGCATCAAAACGAGAACGACATACAAGTGTCGTTTTTCCACAGAGTAAGTTATAAGATTCCAAATATTTCTTTTTTATATATTCTATTTATCAATAATTATTTATCAGTAAATATATGGTCAGTACCAAGAGATTTAATTCGAGAAGTGATCGATGTAATAAATTTTTATCTTTTCAATTTTTATTAAAATATAGTTTACTTAAATAACTAAAAAAACTGAAGTAGGTCAAAAAAATAGTTCACTATAACAATTGAATATTAATTATGAAGAATTTGTGTCATCATTTTCGATTTTGAAGAAAACTAAACAACACTTTCTATTTTTTTACTTTACAATCACTCGTCATAATAAAACTGAGCTGGAAGATAAGATCTAAAAACTTTAAAAATTAGTTCATTTTGTAGAGTGGAGTTTACTCTATTAAATTGCATATTGCGACTTTTTGTGTGATATAATGCACAGGTGATAAAACATTTTTAATACAACTGAGTACAAAACAAGAGAAGAATAGGTGGAAATCATTGCTGAAATTACTGAACATTATACAAAGGCTAATATCACTTGTGCATTCCATTGTATAGAAGGCCTTAATGTCTCATTTAATTGAGTAAACTCTCCTCTATAGAATGGACTAATTTTCAAAATTTTCAGGCTTACTCATTCAGCTCACCTTGATTAATTATTAATAGAAAATCTATGAATTTCTTAAAGAATGCCCAAAGACTTTAACTTTTGACTGTTGAGAGAAAAAATTTTGTTTGCCTTCTTTCCATAGTACACGAATGAATCAATTTGAAAACAATTGAATCAGCTAGAGTTCATCTCGAGCTATACATATCATCTAAAAGATTTACAGTAATAATGTATGCTTCGGAAAAATTAAGCATTTTAATCGTTTCTGGTCCACATTAACATTTTCTTCTTAATTATTAGACGACGTACAAAATCGAGAAGAAGGTCTTGGAGTATGTGGTATGGCTCTTGTTGTATTATCTTATATACTTTGTGCATTAACATTTCCATTTTCACTTTTTCTTACTTTAAAAGTAAGAAAGAAATATATATTAAATACTTTGATATAAATGAATATTTGATTAATAGGTTGTAAAGGAATATGAACGAGCAGTTATTCTACGTCTTGGTCGAACTCTCACTGGTAGAAATATGCTTAGAATATAATGTAAATATTATTAAGTTTTTTAGTTGGCACCAAAGGCCCTGGTTTACTCTTCGTTTTACCATGGATTGATTCAATAGATAAAGTCGATTTACGAACTGGTTAATTAATATCGTGCATCCAAAGAATTATTATTATTTCATTTGTTGATTATTGTTTTTTTTTTCTAGTTACTTTTGATGTTCCTCCTCAAGAAATTCTTACACGAGATTCAGTGGTTTGTCATTAAAAGAAAATTGTAAACAATCTTCTTGATTTTTCATTTTCATATAGACAGTTTCAGTCGATGCTGTTGTTTATTTTCGAATATCTAATCCAATAATAAGTATAACTAATGTTGCAAATCCACGTGTTTCAACACAATTACTTGCAGCTACAACACTTCGTAATATTTTGTAAGTGAACTAATAGAAATAATTAATTTCAATAAAATGTTGCTTTGTTTCTTTTTTTTTTATAAATAATAGAGGTACAAAAACTTTACAAGAAATTTT